GTGCGAATGTTCTCACACTTGCAAATCGGGGGAAGAGGATACTGGGTGACGTGTAAATTACAACTGCCATTGAATTATGAAGATTATTAAAATAGAATTAAAAATACTCAGTATTTCCATATAGAGTCAATAATACTAAAGAATATTACTGGCTTGTAAATTCGATTCTAGGGATTTCTCCATGATTTTACGGATAAATTCAACTGGCTGAGGCATAACTATGATTATTAAATTTATTCCGATCTTAAAATTTTAATAATCATCTTGGGTACAGAGAGAAATTCTTTAGAGATATTCTAGCGCTAATGAAAAAGTTTTCTCAGTCACGTTAAGTCTTTGGTTGCTTCTGGTGGAATTTACCGCAATTTATTGTTAAATTTCTGGAGATTTATGTGACAACTTTACATAAAATTCCCCTTTGATCCTGGACTTTTGTCCTAGCAGGCACTAAAAGTCTCCTGAACAATAAAAATCAATGAATATCTCTAGACCTAAGAGGGATGGCGGAAGTTTCGGAATAATCTTTTCCGTAACTTTCAATTAGCCTAGAAAAAAAGCTCATGATAATTTCGATATCAGCTCTAAATTGCCAGATGTTCTGCGAAAAAATTCTGCGATCCACCATTCAATGAAGCCCTGAACTAACATTCAATGAAGCTTCTCAGGATTTATGCCCATATTAATTTAATGTTAAATAAGATAGGCATTGACAATAAAAGCATCGGATTGACCCTCGATTTTTTTTCAATGATTTTGCAAATTTTAACGAATTAGGCGATAAAAAGTGGTCACTCCGTGGATGTACAATGAATTTTATGCGAGCTTTTCCGTTTATGCACGCACACCACACACGTTCTGCAAATTCTGTTTCCCTCCCCTCGACATCGGGAGTGAAATAGAGAGAGATAGATGAGAAGTTGTAGTTTCTCTCCTTCAGCTGGTGTTGCACACTGCACCATTGCTTCGCGAACTGGGGCCAATGGCCTCTGGACACTCTCTTTCCCACTGCAACTTCCACTTCTCCACTTCGAGAACAGTACATACATCGATGTTACCCGGTTCTACCCACCGAAAGTCCATATGCACACACTGTTACCTCTCTCTTTTCCAAATTCTTTATTCGCCTCTCATCTCGCGGGGCTTTTATTTTTCACCGGCTTGTTCGCCACTGTGAAGTTATTTTCCCTCGCCAGTCGACCGCTTCCAGGGCCTCTGTAATTGCCATTTTGAGTGACACAATTATCTTCTAATGGCGTTGATTCCCTAAATCAGTCTCATCAGTTTTTTTACCCAAAGAATACAGATACTTGAAAAAAAACATTAACGCTAATATTAATTCATCGACATTCATCTGTCTATTAATAAATTAACTTTGGATTAACTTTTGAATGGCGTGTATTTTAAAAGTTTTTTTAAATAATTATTTACTAGGGAAGTGGTGGAGTGAGATGAGTCGAATTTAATCTTTTTAATTATTGATTTATTTTGAAAATAATCCATTTAAGATGGAAAAATGCAAAGATGGAAGGGACTATCTCAAGCCGATTAAATTTCGATATTCATTCGATATTTCTTCTTCCAATACATTTCGAGATTAATCGATATTACAAAAAATTATAAAAATTGTTGAATATTCCTGGAATTTCGAAATTTAAGGATGTCCTACACCCATTTATAATCACAATTCCCATTTTTTTTAATGTTTCGACAAATTATTGATGGAATTGATGTAAAATTTTAATGACTCATTATTTAATGACTCACGAAGTTTCAAGGTGGTGCGGCCATTTTTCTGCTTTTTTTCTAAACTTTTAAAAAGAATCACAAAACTATAGAGGAAATGCATGAAAATTATCGCACTACTAGAAAACTTCTTGAATCATTAAATAATGACAAAACTAAAAAAACGTGAATTTTAGCAATAGATGGATAGAGAACATTTTTAATTTTTTTTTATTGAAAAGACAAAGAATTGATTAAAAATTCAATGAAACTCCAATTTTTCCTGTAGATTTTAGTTGGTCACAGATATTTATGGAAAAATTACACAACAATTATTAATTTTAATGATTTTCCAACGAATTGAGGGGAGGAAATGTATGAAATAATGAAGTGGATGAATTTAATTCGGTGGATTGTATAGATGGAAGTAATCGAGATTTAATTTGGGGATTTTGGGGTTATCAAATGCGTTTCCGTCTGGCTGAGCGGATGCAGCAGTGCCAAGATACAATTGCTGTAAGTAGGAGATACAGCCGCAGGCCAATTCTCAATTCTCCATTCTCCATTCTCCATGGACACTGGGGCGAGAAGCTGTGGAGGAGCGTTGGCAGTTATTCGAGATAACAGATGTGAGATAGCGTACTTACGTCCGTTAATATCGAGGCAGTTCGCTCTCACCCGAGATACACAAATGTATTTCTGGTTGGTGCTTATTTATGGACCCCCGGCGATAGTGGACGTCGGTCGTCCGCGAAATACCCAGAGTGAGAGGGCGATCGCCAAAATAAACGCCAGCCAAAAAATAGAATACTAACGCTGCAAAAATTTCGGTGATAACGACCCAAGATTTTTTAATATCTTCATTCCATTTTCCCATTTAAACCATTTTGATTTGATAATGACTTCCATTGAGAAATTCACACTTTTCATCAATAATCAATGTTCGTACATTAAGTCTTTGGCAAATTCAAATGAAAGAAGTATTTATAATTTTTCTATTCCTTTTCACTAGGAATTTGCTTCACTGGGAATCAACAGTAAATAAAAACGACACTTAAAAGAATGCCAATGACATTTCTCGTTTTCCTCAATTCTTCATAATTGCTCTTTAAAATTCATACATTTTTCGCCATAAGTGTGAGGAGGAAAAGATTTAGCTGTGCTAGAAAAGTAATGTTAGCTGAATTTTTTAGTCGGTGCAATTGAGTGAATCGGGAAAGGTGGGAGTCTCTGAATTTAGTCATTGATTTGCATTGAATGGATGTCTGGCACCGCACAAGGGCTCTCCCAACAGCAGACAATGCGGTAAAGTTAGCAATTGGCGAGTGGTGCGTACTGTTAGACCGGTGGTCTGTAACAGTCTGTGGTCGTTAGCGATAATGATAGTCAACCCGCCTCCCTGGAAAACGTCGGCGTTTAACGGCCTCACAGTCCACATCTTGTCACGCCTCCGTTGCTATTCTTTCTCGTCCCTCAATCTTCATAATCCCATGTACTGCATCTGAAAAAACACTGTACATTAATGTCTGATGAATAGCATCAAAACTAATGCCAACCGGTTTTGAAGCTGTACGCTTGTCCTTAACGCAAACTGGTAGGAATGAGAAATTCACCACGGGGCTTTAGTGTCTATCAATGTCATGCCCGAGAGCATAACAGGAAAGTATTAACATAAACGATCCATTTCAATCTGCATAATTCCATCGTCGATACCTCTATTTGCCGTATTTTGTCACAATATCCCATTTTTGCCCCTAACTTCTTCATATCTGAACATTTTATCTCTGATCAATCATTAAATTAATAAATCATCAAACCATCTTCTGAAGTCAACAGTGCAAATGATTGCATCACCTGTTCAAAATTAAGTTCTTTCATTCATGAACAGCTTGTAATTATTTAATGAAAACCAATAGCTTTTGAGTCAAATGACTTTTTGAGATTTCCAATTAATGAACTTTCAAGTCTTTCACCATCATTCAATACCAAATATAAATCTTTCATTGGAATACTAATGACCCATCAAAATGAAACCCTCAATTTAGTATTTCAAGATGAATTTAAATAAAAAGGAAAGAAAGATGGATGTAATTGCCAACAATCTGGCCAGTTTTTCCATAATTAACAATCAGAAATTTTCCTCGATATCCAATAACATAAAACAGGTTCTCCCCTCTAAAATGGAGCTTCGATGACCGGAGGAAGTTATCCAACGTTTAAACCAAACGTTGAATGAAATAAAAAAATATTGAGAAAATGAATAAACCATTAATTCTGCATTGGCCTGGCACATCCCAAGGACATCCTTAGTGCTTTTAATTACAAGAATAACGTATGTACCCACAGGTTGTATTTACCATCTCAAGTATGTGGTTTTTATCCCTTCATAAACCAACGACTCGGGGTAATAAAAATCTCCGGGAATATATGCCCTCGTTGAATATTCCGCGAAAATTAATTCGTCGAAGGACAAATTACTCCCTGTCCCAGTGGGTCGTTGTACATCGGCCGAGACCTTCATTTTCACGAGTTGTCTCGTGTCGGGTAATATAACAAGAGGGTGAAGATTAAGAGGAGTGCCCCCTTCTTCTTCGTTCTTATTTCGTTATTCTCGTGCGCAAACGAGAAGACTTGCGCCGACCAATTTACACGCTCATAAATCAACTGTCTCTTTCCATCGAGTGAGTTTGAAAAATATAACCAGCGTAAAGATCCCAAGGAACGGTACCCTGTACCTATAAAAAAAAGACCTGCGTGCGTGTGGGTGAACCGGATTTTTCGTCGAGATAAAAAGAGCACGGATGATTTCTTCCGAACGGAATCAATGGCTCGTGGCTCTTTTTCGAAGCGTGTACTCAGTCTCTGTAGCTCAATTACCTTTTAGTCAGGGAAATATTCAACAGGGATTCGTCAATTTTCAATTGCTACACTCTTTCACTTTTTTTTCATCCCCGTTTTACTTTAATATTTCCAGTTTTTATTAAATTCACCATGTTCAATGCTCGTGCTTAATTATTGCAATAATACATTTGCAATTTCAACACTACAAACCATTTCTGCGTTAAATTTCCAGTTTATTCCTTGGATTATATAATTGGTTCACTGATTTCTCCATAAATTTCACATTTGATTAAAAATTTTATGAAAAGGGTAATCCTCTGGGATTTTTAGATTTTTTTCTGGGAAAAAATTAATTACTTTGAGATATCGCTTGAGGTCATAATAAAAATAATTTCCCACTGGGAAAGAATAGATGAAAGCTGTGAATAAAGAAACATTATGGGGAAATGAGCATTTAAATATTTGGACGTTGAAAAATTGTGGAGGTGTATTCCCCAGTTGACTCCTCATTGCCATCAATTCTGCCAAATCAACGGTAGTTAGCAAGTGAGACTAGTGGTACTTACCCACCGGTCAAAAAGCCGACAACGAGAACGAAGAGAATTCATAAATGGAAGGAGGATTGACCCTCGGTTATACAAAGATTTATAGCTTTTCTTCGTTTATCGTGACAAACCCACTGCTTCCAGTAAATCTACTCAAACTCCATTGTTTTATCTCCTTTAATTGGTATCCGGTTTTATAAAACATATTCATCTGCCGGTAATTGGAGTGCGTATTGTATTTCTCATTAAAATATTCTACGATTTACACTCGTATTCAATTTCATACCATTTATTGTTCTCTTAATGGAGGAACCCGTGGAAAATGTTTGTTTGAAATTTGTAAACTCTTCAAAATTACCTGAAATTTCAATCACAAAATCGTCAGAGGTTTTAATTATATAAGTTTGAATACAATTTTAATAAAAAAAGGTCACTACATTTTTCGTTTCTCTTGGCAATTCACGAGAATTTGGGTTTTCATGTTAAATAATAATTGATTTTCCAATTAATACTGGAATTGTCGTACTTAAGACGTGCTTTCACCATTTTCACTGTCTTTCGCTGTGAAACGAACCTGAACGTTGGGAATATTAAAAATTCACCTTAAAAGTGTCACGTTGTCATTGTTAGAAATTCCAAATTGTTTAAGCAGAAATTTCAAGTGCAATTTTCCAACAGTGCATTTATTTTTCTCATGGCGAACCAATTGTCAATGCAATTTGAGGACTCGACAAACAATGAAAATGGAGAAAGTTCAGGTAATAATTAAAATTGTTATCAATTATAACGTGAATTTTAATTGCAAATTATTACTGACATAAATTGGCTTTCAGAAATTAGTTCATACTGGTCTGTAGTACATTTTTGACATTTTATTTCATAAAAATTTAATCAAGTACCTCTTGACAAAGAAAATCCATACGATTTTCTGAAACTTCAGCTTGTCGATTGAACCCGATCCATACTTCTCACTGCAACGAGATATTAATTTCCATGTGTGTCTCGAGAGTTATCGCTCCCTCAGCAATATTCTACGCACAATGAAGTCTATTGTCCTGCTGGTTGGTATTTTCATCGAGAAAAATATCAGTATTTGTCATCGTTGTTCGCGCCTCCCCTCCCGGTTATCCCCCACATGTCTGAGGATAAAGAGGGCCCTCTGTGCCGTGACATGCCCCTGAACCATATCACAAGATGTGCGAAAATATTGCGAGTCTGATAAAAAAGTTAAAACTATAAATAAATTAAAAAAAACAGTTTGACGATTATTTTTGCGTCGACCTTCAAGCATATGGGTTGAAAAAGGGGGAACTTTCACGCCCGGATGGGATGGAAAAAGAGGAAGAGGAGATGCGACTGGGCGATACTGTAATGACCCAGACGAGTTGCATCCTTGTGCCACATAAACCCCGATCTTCAGTATATGCTTGTGTGGAATGGGGGAGGCTTAATTGGCCCATGCGTGCTCATCTTTATACTTTTGTGTTATGAGTATTGCGGGGAAAAAAAACCGTTTATGGGTCCTATCATCCGTTTTATTGAGGTTGAATCGACGAATTTATATCGAATTCATTTTTTTTTGTGTAACAATTTCGATTACTTATTCATAATCAACGAAGGTGAAAAATCCGAAAATGCCATTTTTAAAGCGTGTCAATCGGCGCGTATGTATCCGTGAAATTGAATCACTTTTCTTTGTGGAAGTATTGTTGAGCCCTAGTTGATGTTCATTAAAATTCCATTCATTTGATACTTTTTTTAATTTTCGAGTTTAAATTGACCAAAAAATGTTGTAAAATACTTGAATTCCGGACTTGTCATGGGATATTCTACTTCAATGGGGTTTTATTACAGCTTGAAATGATCATTTCGATGCCATATTGTTACAATTAAGAGATAATTTTCCTAACTACGTATGTTGATATAATTTTTCAGATAACCAATCGCATGGGTATTACTGATTTATCAGCGAAAATATTTCTAGGTAATTTTTCTAGGTAATCCGAGAAAATTTTTAGGTTTTCGCAAAAATCATAAGGAATGAATTTTAAGGAGCTGGCCAATTTTATTTATACATCAATTTTTTTCGATGGGGATGGGGGAAGGGCGTTTGCTTTGAATTTTCCTTGGGGTTTCGTTGAAGGTAATGCTTCAATGAAACTTGAACCTCAAGTCCCTGAACATTTTCCATGATATTTTTCTTCCATTTGATGCGTGGGTCGGCATCTCGTGGTTGTACCTCTCGACATTTCGCACGTTCCTTAGTTTTGCGTGTCTCATGTGTGCTTTCGCCTCAGCTCGTCTGTTTGCACAGCTAGACCAACATTCACGTCAGTCGTCCAGGCGCCTCCGTGAAAATATATTGCCCAAAGAGACATGCAGTCGTGAATACGAATTTCAATGTTTAATTTTTCCCCATTTTCTCTCTCTCTCTCTCTCGCTTTCTTTATGGTTGGAACAAGAACGGAACGAAGAGAAGAACCAAGAATGTTGTGAATTCTCTGGTCTCCCCTGAAACGTCTTCGAGGTGTTCCGGTGTTTTTACAAAACACAGGGAACATCAAAGTAGAAAATTCCAGGAGCAGTCAGACCCTTCGCATACAGTTGTGTCTTGGCTTCGGTGTTAATTAGGCGGTTCATTTTCAACATCAATATTGATGTATCGAGAGCTTCTATCAACAATCTCCGACTTTTTATGTTTTTAAATACGAAAATCAGTTTCAATCAGCTGTTTTCACAGAAAAAAATTTCATATCAGAAAGTTTTTTTTGCTAATTTCTGAAATTTTTTTGTCGGTGTTCAAAATTTCAAGTTTTTTTTTGCTCCATACTTCAAGTACTTGAAATCAAATTTTTTTTTCTTATATATAAGTATTGTTGAGCCCCAACTCTTAATCGTTGATATTCATTTATATTCAATTGATTTATTCAGACTTATAATTTTTGAGTTTTTTCAAAAATAAGTTTTTTACAATGACTCAGCAATTTTATCAAGCAATTCAATGATAGCTTAATAAATTTGTTTTGATGTCTTGTCGATCGAGTTGAAAAATGCAAATATTAGCAATATAGCGATATATCGACATGTAGGAAAGATTTTCGACAATTCGTATTTGAAAACTGATCGAATTCTGTAACGGGTGCAGTACACTTCAATTAAAGTTGATTAGGGTTTTTTTCGTTGGAACAAAAGAGTATCTTCGGAGATATTCTTGAGCTTTTACGAGCGTGTGTGGTCTTTAACAAGTGTTGCCTGAACAAAAACCCTGAAAAAAATAAGTTGAAATGTGAGACCCAGTTGTACGTTCAAAGCCGGTCTCGGTTGCGCCTAATCCTGACGCGTGACGAGGGGGCGGTTTAACTTGCGTCGTTTCTTTTAGGTAATTAACCGTCTTCGCGACTGAATTAGACCGAATTCGCGGTATAGTAAAATTTTCAGTGCCCGCGACAAAAAAAGTACCATGTAAATCTCATAAGAATTGTGTAAAAAAAATGAAACGATTCGTCCGTAAAACTACTCCGAGGAGAGTAAAATTTTCAACTCCTAAACTATTAATTTTTTTCCAAAAAATTAACAACTGTAGCATTTCAACTCATTGAAGTTGACAGACTGAAAAGGACCTTTTCATCTCTCGAATTTACGTAAAAATTATGAAGCTATAGATTTAGCCTTCCGATTACATGAATCGTCATGTAATTTCTCCTAAACTATTTTCTCCGTATGAAACCTCAAGCAATTGAATAACCGGATGACGTTGGGGTTATCGGGTTATGCTTTCTCACTATCACATTTTACGACGTTCATGTTTTCAACTGCAAGCGACTGCAGTTGCCAAAAATAAAAACACAGAACGCGATAAATCGCCGGCCCCGCGGCGAGCGCCAGCGAAAGGAACTGCCAAAGTGTCGACAAAAAAAAAATTACCACTGGAATATTACCCCACTGATAAAAGCAACACTGCAACAACCGCTATCTTTTAAAGAGCGTGCGTTATCGAACGCATTACTCGATCGTCATGAGAAAAAAATCCCGATAGAGTTGCATAAAATGTCGGGAAAAAATATGTAAGCTTTATCGTCTTGGAGAAAGAATAGAGTGGATTGTGTTGTATCGGTTACTTGTCCTCTTATCGAAAGATATCCTGACCTCTTCCATGGCCTTGTGACACTAAAGCTATTCTTCATGCTCTAAACGTTTTCTCAATTATGTAGAGAAAAAGTGTTTTCCGCCCTGGACTATCTATGCATATCTATTCCTAATTTTTCAGAAATAATCCATACTTCCTAGGAGAAAATAAAGGTCATCATCATCATTCATTACTTACTCATTAAATCAATCAAATTAAATCTAATGAATTTCATGTTGATGTCCTACAATGAATACATTTAATTGGTGAAAAAAAATCATTATTAGATAATCAATTAGATTCAATAATAATTATTTGATCTTTCCTGTTTTGAATCACATATTCGATGAGTTTCTACATGACAATAAAATACATGAGTACTCGGGAGGAGAAAAAGGGTTATTATGGATTTTATTCAAACGGACTTATATTTTTAGTGGAAGTGACGAATGTAACAAATCTGGGCGGTATCCTACAAAGCTTGTTAATGTCTTTAAAATGCTATACAATATATCCCCATAAATTGAATCAAATTCTACGATAATTAGCACTAAACGGGAATTTTAGAGCGCGACGTAACGGTGAAGAATGAAAACCCCAACAATTCTACAAAAAAAATTAACTAAGTCACATCCAACTGAAGTTATTTTGAAGATCAAAAAATTTGAGTTAGAATGGCATGTAAATATTATTTATATTTTTTCAAATTTTTCCCAATACAATAACTCGATTATTGCTACATGTGCTTCAATTATTTAATCCGGCCACTTCTGATATCAAATTAATATCACAATTTTTTTTCAGTTACACTGAAAACTCGATTTATTTATTGGTTTATGATTTTTTCTGTGATGGAGGAGCAGCAGAAAGTAGTGATTGAAGAGTATTGATCAAGCCAAGGATTAACGACACGAGAAATTCCGCGGAAATAGTTGGAAAAATAGTAACTTTCTATTTAATAAAATGCCTATTTCGTGTGTTTGGGAATCGCGTGTTCTACACATTTGTTAGATATCTCACGTGAACCGGTCACACAAATGTTTTTTCGATGCCACCAACTCCCGTTCCAGGCGCGTGACTTTGCAATTTGCTCGATGCATGCACTTAATCATTTGAATACACAGTTGCTATATTCACGGTGGGATAATCGTGTCACTTAGACGTGTGGTTACAGCGCATCCCCCGTTCCAACGGGAAAAAAAAAATCCATTATTCATGCACCTCGCGATGATTGAAAATCACTTGGAGGTGATGTCGGATGTGTCGCGGGGCTTTAGTTCCTCTCCCGACAGGTGCTGGCGAATATTTACCATTTTTTTAATGGCCAGGGGTCAGTGCACGAACCGGTGGGGAAAAGTCGCTATTGCTAATTAAATTCGGCGAGCCCTCACTCGAGACAAAGGGATGTTTGCGGGACGCTTTTACCTCGACCTTTTTTTTCACCCTTTCTACACTTTCTTCTCGTATTTCATACCCAGACGTGGTTCTAATGCAAATTCCCGGGACACGGGGTGTCATTTCAGATCATATTTCAATTCAATTTTTCAATTTTCGCGGGCATGAGAGAAAAGTCATTTTTTGAGAGAAAAAATTCTCTTCACTGGCAGAAGTTTTCGTTTTTATTTTCTGAACTGAACCTAAAAAAGACAATCTTATCTTTTTTTATTTTACAAATTATTATTAATTGAGGATATCTCTGATGATGAAAAATTTTAATTTAAAAACAGTATAATCGAAATTCTTGTCATGAATATTTAAGTCTTGAATTTTAGGATTGTAGTCGCTACAGTATTGAAACATTACATTTGAAATTTTTAACAACTACAAAGTGATATGAAATTTCATGGCAATTCTTCATTAATCAATTTGGTTATTTATTGAACAGTTT